GGGGGGGACACACAATGACTATTTTCCAATTTTCCCGTATTGAATAAGCATCTCCCTTGGTCATAACATTCTCATTCAAATTCCAGGAACTGTGTTAAACCAGAACACATTCCAACCAAAATTTAATGGTACCTAGCAGACTCAATCAAGCAGCCCAAATATTCTCCCCACAATACTGATTAACAGATATCTTCTGAAGATATACTTGACAGAAACCAAATACAAATATGTGGACATTAACATGCCAACAGAAAACGAAGATGGGACACCATCAACTCCCACACAGCAGAGAACATTCACCTCTGTTAACCATCTTTCTGGCAAGATCTGCTTTCATCATATTAACGTTAGACTTTACAGACTGGCTGGGCACTACACACACTTGTAACCCCAAAATTTGGGGAGGGAGGAAGATTAGTTCTAGAGCTCTGGAGTTTGAGAAAAACATTAAGCACTTTAAAATGGTTCTAGTAACAGATACTCTGAGTTAGTTTGGTCATCTGAGAATTCGTTTATCATTCAGTAACAGAGTAGTTACAAAAATGTATTTGTTTTAAATTATAAATAAGACTAAAATAAGTTATGTTGGCAGTAGTTTACAGAGCCACCTCTATATAGCTCAGTTAAAGGCTGCCTGCTTTTCTGAGTTACTTGAAAAAGCATAACCTTTGCTTTTTCTTGTATGTATTTTTCTAAAACCTGAGCATGCTTACTTGGCACTTGGGGTTTTCTCACTGTTTTTCTCTGAAGGCCCACTTCTGACACGTCGCTGTTCGCCTCACATTTGGGACCCTAACTCAACAGGCCTGGCTACTCTCTCTTCCTCTTCTCCATCTCCTTAGTCTGGGCAGCCACTGAAATTTACAGCTTGCTTGCTCAGTGTTTTGTTTTGTTTCTCTTAAACTCATAAAATTGTCCCCAAGTTAAAAAAAAAAAGTTATATCACCTTTACATCTTTTCATTCTGTAGTTTAGGGACAAAACTTTTTAGCAAAAATAGGAAATCTTTTTAAGTGAGCCTTGATACCTATTTTGAAGAAACAGCTGGGAAGACTAAATTTTTCTGATGTTTGGAACAGGGCAGGACAGAGACATACTGTCTTTCAAATACAAAACAGGGATGGCTAAACATATCACCTTTAAGATGAACATGTAATATTTATTAAGATGATTATGGGGAGGAAAGGAAATGAAAGCAAAGTACTTTAAAGATTAACTCAAGCAAATAACAACAGAATTAGAAAATCCTTATCTCCCTGGCTAAATAAAAGCAGTCAACTACTGCATGAGTGTGTATTTTCAAGCAAATACAGAAGAAAAACTCATTAGCTCTTAAAAAAATACACACATTTAATGTTGGTCTGTTTTAATTCTAAGTAAAGCAATTCCAAAAATACAAACTGAACATCAGAGCCATGTGAACCACCATGATAAAACAAACATACACAATAATTACCTCTAAAGACAGTTCAGCTTGATAAAGCGTCTTCTGAGTATGTTAAAGACTTACTAGATATACTGCTGGTGTTCAGTTAGAATTAAAGGACTCTGGGGAAAATGAAATAAGATACAGTTGGCGTGAAGGTTACACGGGAATTACATTTTCCATTACCCCTAGACATAAACAAACATTCAAAAATCAACACAAACTCTGTGTGTTATTCAAAATATTGCAGCTGCAGGAAAGGCAACTTTAAATTAATAGCTAGGGGAAAATCAAGTTTTGGTGGAGGTAAACAGAAGTGACAGTTTGTAATTTGCACTTTTATAAAGCTCATTTGTACCTGGTCAACCAGGAACCAACGCAGGATACGAAGCTCTCTGCTTCTTTTGGCTATAATGTGACAAGAAAAGCCATCTTTTGAAGATGTTTAAAGAAATAAAGCCCATTTCCTTAAAACCAGTCAAATAATTAATGGAATAAATAAGCACTAACCCACAGTTTATCACTCTGTCTTCGCTACACTTTACAGATTTTTCATTTTGGCAGCAAATTCCCCAATTTTTAGTCTAAAATCCACCAATCATTTTTAAAAGAAAAATGAACAGCCACCAAAATAAGAATCTTCTTCTGTTTACTCTTTGGCCAAGAAAGAAAACAAACAAAACAAAACAAAACAAAACAAAAAGAAACAGAAGACAACTCTAACACTGGTGATAAAAGAAACTCGTTTTT